AGCGCATTCCCCATAAGAGAGTAGGGGAATAGCCTCAACTTCAATGTGTCTTTGGCCACCCCATTGATCTTCAAACCTCCCGCAATCTTCATAAACCTTTGAACATGCTCCCTCGTATACTCATCTCTAAGGCCATATAATTCCATATTGTTTTGGATCATTGTGACAAGGCCGGGCTTGATCTCGAAATTGTTGGCAGCCACGGGCAGATATAAAATGGTAGGTTCAATCCGCCGCCCGTGGAGCCATGTAGTAGCCCATGGTCCTCGGTTGCTCCGCAGCTCCCGGTTGAAATTCTTGATTAGCTGCTATCTCGGCTTCACTTCCTTCCTCTTCGGATTCAAATTATTCCTCAACTACAACTCCTTCAACTTTGGGACCAGCTTGTGGTTGTCCCCTCTCCTCTATCCTTCTTCTTACTTCCGCTAGTTCCCTCTCATGAGCCAAGAGTCGGAGAGTGCAGTTGAGGTTCTCGTCTAGTGGTGTCAAAAGTGTCGGATTACTCTGGGTCATACATCCTCCTGCACACACTCAAAGAAGCACAACTCGTCTAACACAAGCAAGATTCACACACACAAAAGCAAAAAGTAAAGCTAGATTAACACAAAAAATATTTTTGAAATAACGGACCAGAAGTTCCCTGGCACCGACGCCAAAAACTTGACTCATCACGAATATCACAATAAAAATCACAATTAAGGCTCAAGTATAATCCTTAACCATGTACCCCTACTTCGATTATTTGAAACATTATCTAGCAATTGGTTTTTGGTGAAAACAATGATGGATAACTAAAACGTTAGGAAAAGTAAATGGGTTGGACACTAATTGAGAAGGCTTCACCCAGGTGTTGCTTCCCCTAGCTAACAATGATGACTTGTCGGATCGAATTCATAGGTGTGAGAAAAGCGGTTGTAAACCGTTGGGAAGTGCAACTAGTGAACAAATGCCACTCTCTCGGTCGATAGGCCTAGGGAATACGATTCAAGCTACCAAAGTAGCTCTCTTGATCTATCAACCAAGGGTTGCCTAGACTTCACCCTTGAATCGGAGTTCGGACGACCAAATTACTACCAACCCTAGGTGCTAATAAGAATTAAGAGGTTTTCCCTAATTTAACCTAAGCAGGAGACAAAGATTGCCCAAACAAATCCAGCTTTTACAAGCCTCTAATCAAAGGGGATTTCCCTCTACCTAGCTTAAAATGGCATAAGATATTGCTTGGAGTTGAAACCTTGTAGAAGAAATTCCCAAAACCTTGCTTGGAGTTGAAACCCTAACCTCTTCTCTTCTTCGGTTCGTTAATTTCTCTCTCCAGAAAGCTGAAGAAGAACTTTCTCACACTAGGTCTCCCCTCTTTTCCTTAAGCTCAGCCCTCCTTTTATACCCAGGTCGCAGGTAGTTCATGGTCTTAGTTCACAGCCGTGAATATCCTTCCTGGACCGTGATGTCGAGCAAATCCACACCATTTTCACTTAGCTTGTTCAAGGTTTGGGGCTTGAGTTCACGTTCTTATGACCGTGAACTGATTGGGATCCAGTGAGGTGTGCATTTTGCTTCTAGAACTTCAGCGCTTCGTGGCCGGGGCACCCTTTTCACGGTGCATAAGATCGTGAAAACTCATCATCCGTCGTGATCCTCAGCTGCTTCCACCCTTTGACTCGTTTTCGCTCATTTCGTCCCATTTTCGATTCCGGGGTGAGTTTCACCTGCCAGGATCTGAAACATACTAAAAAAGTGCAACCTAGCATAAAAACACACCTCACGGAGTACAAATGCATCAAACATCTGAGGAAAATGGGGATAAATGTGTACAATTGGACCCGAATCACTCCCCCACACTTAAACGTCTAAGGAAAAATGATTGAGATCTAGTGAGGTGTGCATTTTTCTTCTGGACACTTTGGCACTTCACGGTCTGGGGCGTTGGGCATTTTGTTTCTGGAACTTTAGCGCTTCCCAGTCGGGGTGACCTTTTCACAGTCCGTAAGACCGTGAAAACTCATCATCCGCCATTATCCTCAGCTGCTTCCACCCTTTGACTTGTTTTTGCTCCTTTTCGTTCCACTTTCGATTTCGGGGTGAGTTTCACCTGCCACGATATGAAACATACTAAAACAAAGTGTAACCTAGTGTAAAATCACGCCTCACAGAGTACAAATGCATCAAACGTTTAATGAAAACAGGGATAAAATATTTACAATTAGGCCCGAATCAACCACACCTCCTGAGATGATAAACTCCAGAGTCCGGGTATATCTATCTCCATAGCCACCATCCGATCTAAACATTTCCTCTAGGTAAGTTTTGTCCTTACGGCTGTTATCCCATGTTAAGGTTTTGCCATAATATCCCAAGTCTTTCTGTTGGTAATCGTCGAGGGCCTCATTGACCCATCCATTTTAGCTGCATTTGCTGGGCTATGCCCATTGTGTTCTACATAACTTTGAATGAAATCTCCACAACATACCCAGGGGATATATGTTAGATCCTTTATGTATCCCAGGAGCTCCCAAGTATGGTGTTTATGGCCTTGTTCTGACCAACCATAAACTCCCGTCATTCTCCATTCACTCCCATTAGCACTCACTTTCATACCAATGTAATTATGAAAGTATCCCTTTATTTCTAGTTTCACATCATCCCAACAAAGTACTCATAGACCTTCGGCCCTTTCCACAGATACCACTCCAAAACTATTATAACCCTGAATTTTTTGGACCACTGCTTCCCACTCATGAGACTTTTTTTTCATGATGAACGCCACCCGGGGAGTGTTTCTTTGGAGCAATTTGTCCAATTTTCTAATTGTCAGAGGACTCCCCAGCCCCCGACAATTATTAGCTTAACTAACTCATTAGGATGAGCGGTCTTGCTCTACTGTAGGGTCTTCCAGATCACCAACCACCTCTTTATCATTTTTTGATGCAATCTTCTGAATTCCAACTTCAAAGTTTAGGAATTTTGGTTTATTTGCCATCAAGGGGTGTCCACCTACAAGTACTCTTCCCTTCCTTGATGGCTTAATAGTGTGTTTCTGTGGTGTAAGACGGACATGAGTATCTTTTCTATCTTTCACCTGTGTTTTGTCGTCTCTAAACTGTGCTAATATTTCTTTTGTTCTCACAGCCTCCATCCCAACCTACTACAAACTGCTTTAGGGAACTTTGTGGTGACTTACTTGTGGGGGCTGGAGCTCCTTTATCCATTTCTTTGATTACACACATGTCTTGCTCCTCTATGACTTGTACTCTTTCGTACTGATCTCCCTTTTCTATATGTTTTTCTATGATTATGGGTTCTGTTGGGGTTTTAACAATCTGGGTTGCCTGTAAATCATGTGCTTTTGTATACGAGTTGGACCTTACACTTTCCATATCAAACTTCCTCTTCAAATAAACCTGGATCTCTGCATCTTCTATTTTAGCTGTTATTGATAGCCAAAAGCGGGTCCTTGAAGGTCCTGCTTGATGCTCGGGACCAAAAGGACCCGTTGGTAAAAGAGTGGGAGTTGGACACCTAAGTTTTGGGTGTCCTATTCTCCCACACGAGAAACTGTATAATGGAAGCTTCTCATATTGTATTAAGTCTTCCACTAGTCTCCCTCCTATGTTGAGATTTATTCTTTTCTTCATAGGGTTGTTTATTGTCAAGCATACCATTATTCTCATTTATTCATCCCACATTGTTTGGCCATCATCATCAAACCATACTAGCGAGCCAAATGTGGCTGCAATTTTCTGTCATTGTGTTTGTGGGAAGCTCTATTGGAAAACCATGTGGATCCATATGAGTCATATGGACATGTTTCTTGATCAAACCACTCGCTTTGAAAACTATAATGTTCTTCTCATAATGCCATGGGCCACCATGACAGACCTTGTTTCTGTCATCCATGTCTAAGAACATGAAGGCATACATCCTATCTCCTAGACCTGTTACTTGGAAACTCTTTCTTAGATTCCAAGATTTTGTTAGGGCGATCTTTAACAATTTGATGTTTGGTTTTTTCCCAGCTATTAATCTTTCAATGAGGCCATGCAGTCGTACAGCCTCCATTCGAACAACATCATCTTTTGAGTCTTCTACATCCAGCGGTTCCTCATCATCATCAAAGAAAGCAATCTGGTCAAGCTTTGTTTCCAGACCCTCTATTGGTGATGAATATATAGTTTTGTCCTTGTCTGTCTTGTTCTCCATTCTTTCTCGACAAAACACCAAAGTGATGGTACTTTGCTTGTTATATAGCTCTAGGATTTCGATTGTATCACAATGAAAGGGTGGTTCAAGAAGGGCAAGCACTAGTAGTGGTTAAGTATCCTCAATCTTTCAATGGGATGCAGGGAAAACTCGAAACCTTAGAGGTCGTCGCTGCCTCTCAGAATACCTAACTCTTGCTAAACGAGAGAAAAAAGTGACTGCTAGCAACTGGGAATTGATAGATTTAGATGAAGTTTTAGGAAAATATTCTCGATATAGATGACATATAAGTCATGGAAGTATATGGATCGGCAAAACTACTAACGATATAGGAAAGAACTTTTAAAGAAGGGACTGACTAGCGAGCCTACATAGTCATCAAAAGTGTGATTTCATAGTGCCCGGATATTTAAAATTTTCGTTAGTCCTTGCAATTAATGAAATCAAATGAATACATATTGTTATTTGTTAATAAGTCCAAGCACGAAAAAGGATGAGATAAAATTATCCAATAAAACAAATGTGTTTCGATATTCTATAAAAGAACAAAAGAAAATATTCTAACAATTACATGAAGTCACTACAGAAAAATACAAAACTGATTCATATAGCCATTTTACACAAAAAAAAAAAAAAAAAACCCCCACAACAAAAGGAAACACTCGAGGGTAAATCTTTATGATCAGGATTAGTTAATTCCTATATCCATTTTTCCTCCTAAAAAACTATTATGTACTTTTAATTAAAATTTTAGGTACACTGTACCAATTTTATGCATCCCTTTCCATTCGACATATTCTCTAGAAGAGATTGCTCTGGCGACCCATCTTACGAGGCAAACCAAAGTTTTGATAAGCTTTGATCTCACCTTCAGACGTGGCTGCCACAATGACAAGCCCCCATGCTGAAGCTTGGTTTTTGTTGTTCCCTCCGTGACTAGTCCCTTCAAACCAAGACCAATTTGAAGACCAAGAAGATGATGACGATGGATTTGTGGTGGACGAACTAATCGACGGAGACTCCTCTAATTTAGCAGATGATGATGTATCAGAAGATAATGACTCACCGGCGACCTCAGATTCTGATAGTGAAACTTGTGCAGGATCTTCTTCTGGTGCTATTGAAGTAGCCTCTACAAGACTATTATTATTATTATCTTTACTGGTTTCATTTTCATCAACATTGTTCTCCTTTTCATTGGTCTCGTCTTTGGCAATGTCCTTGTTACTATCCTTGGCAGCAATGTCCTTGTTATTATGATTTTCTTTGTGCTTCTTTGGAAGTGGTGGCTTCTTAGATGCTGAGGGATTGTCTTCCTTGGTGGGTGAGGGTGAGTCTCCAGAGGCGGACTGGCTTTTCTTACTGGAGGTGGAGGAGTCTTCCTTGGTTGGGGAGTTGGTAGAAGAAGCAGCAGCAGCAGCAGAGCTACGTTTAGACTTGCTTTTTGTTGTGGTGGTTGGAATTGGCGGAGGGTCGCCTTTTACGATCGCTGGCCAGGGAATGGCCACAGACACGTCTTTGCATTGGAATGCCTCATACCCCCGATTGGTGACAACACTCTTTCCTTTTCCAGCTTCCTCTCGCTTCCAAATGTACACATTAGAATCTTCGCTCGCACAAATCACATGCTTTCCACTCAAGCTAAATGAAGCTGCAATTTGGCTATTGATGTTTTTGAAACCTGAGCAAATGAAAAACAAATTTTCATGAACGTGTACGTAATTACTACCTACATTATAGGTTTCTTTTGAATTTTTCCAATGGGAAGGAAAGCATGGATGTTATTACCTCTAAATTTGTGGACCAGCTCCTTGCCATCCATAATGCGTATTCTAGAATCAGCAGAAGTGACGAGGACTTCTGATGGATTTCCTGGAGAAAACTAATTTCACATAGAGATTTCAGTTAGTGGTCATTTTGGGTAACCCAATATTGTTCTGTTCCTATGGTTATGAAATAAATGGTTTATCATTGTTTAAAGAAAATATGAATGTGTCCAAAAATTCAACTCTACTTTTACTTATAAACTAAACAGATCATAATAGAATTACACACATTCTCCAATTTCATATACAAAAGTAAACCTTAGGTACATAAATTTAAATAAGCACATGGGTAGGGGAATGATATAATGGGGAAAGTTAAAGATGTGAATGGGCAAGAAAAGGAACCAATACCTGGAACCCTGTGATCTTTTTCCCACTGGATTTCTTTTTTTGGATGTCAATTTGATCCGTTTGATTTAGTTTGCAGTCTGAAGAAAAATAAGAAATATGTCACTTATGAAACATTTTATAAGGAAATAAAATATAGTAATCTCATGGAAGAAAAGATGACCTTCAAGACTATACATTCTGCAAGTTCCTTTGTGTGATCCGACTAGTGCACCCTTCAATTAAGAAATAGGAAGGGGAAAAAATATCACTAAAGAAACCAAGAGGAAAGAAAAAAAAAAAAAAGACTATATTGCGTAAGAAGGACAATGAAATTTTTCTTTATTTATCAATCGAAAGGGCTGTACCTGACCATCTGGAGTGTAGCAAACAGCAGTGACCATTTCATGAAGATCAGTCCAATCCACAAGCTGCCTATCGGGAACACTCCATATGCGAATCTTGTTGTCGAGTGATCCACTCAAGAAATATTGATCATTCATGGGGTTGAATTGTATACAAGTTACTGCTCGAAAACATAACATAAGAAGCCAATAAAAAAAAATTGCAGACATAATAACAAAAAAATGTATTATTTTACAATGATATTCTTTTCGGTTATGGGGATATCTTACCATAATCATTATGAGCAAACATCTTCAAACAACTCTTGCTCTCCATATCCCATAATCTCACTGTTTTATCCATTGATGATGATAGAAGTAGCTACCCATAAGAAGAAATTAAATATGGTTGCTCATTAATTAATTCAATAGGAATTGTAAAATATTCTTGTCCTTGCAAAAAATTGGCAAGATAGATAGAGTGAGAGTGTTGCCGTGTTGGTTGATTACCTGAGATCCCGCCCATGACAAATCCAACACATCATCAAGATGGCCAGTGAAGGAGCAAATTGGTTTCTCTGAAAGTGCAAACACAGTTTCGGGCACATGAACATATTCAGGAATCGGGTTGCCTTTCTTGCTAGTAGAACCACCTTTCTTCTTCTTCTTCAAGGATGGAGTCGGTGAAGCCTCAGACAAACTAGGCGGCGGTGCTGCAACAGAATTAGACAATGATGGATGAAGAGGGGTCAAATGGCCATCATGCAACGAAAGCACTTCGCATTCCTGAACCTCCCATATATGTATTACTTTGTCTTCACCACCACTAGCCAAATATCGGGCATCTGAACTAAACTTGAGCGTCCAAATCGAACCCTCATGTGCTTGAATCTCTTGACACAAATGCAGAGCACTCAGTTCCCTCTGTGACTTCCCCGTCACTCGAACTTTGATCCATCCCGATGGTGCTGCTGATGAGTTCTTATTTCCAGCTGCAGCCTTTTGATCGGGTATTGGTGGTGGAAGGAGATCCCTGTCCCTCTCTGTTTTAGACGCACTCATCGACATTGAATGTGCAACCCCTTTTATACTTTTTACCAGGGCCGCTCCTCGCCTTTTGCTCATACGCAAACTCTTGGAGAAGTAATTGTTGACTCCCAGCTTTCTGTCATTTCCATCATTCACGTTTTCCCTTCGCATTAACTCTTTTACGACAGGCGAATGTCCAACAGATTTCTCAAATTCCTCCATCGTTAATTGCTTTCCGGTTTGGAGATCGCTCACTCTGTTCCACATTCCATCTTGATCGTACTCATTGACAATGAACTCCTTGCCTGTATCCAAATTCTTGATTAGGAAAAAGGCTCCAAAGTTGTTGGGTATGGTCGATTTATTATTAGAGCCTCGATTGTGCGCACCACCACCATTTTCATTGTTGGAGGATGAGCATCCATTTCCATTTTCTTTATTGTTATTGGGGACTCGTACAGAGTCAGGGTAGGTCGAGTAGCTATGTGCACGAGCTTGGGATACAATGATGAGAGAGGTCGTGCGAGTGATGCGTTGCTTGGAGATCAAACCAAACACCTCCTCTTTCCTTTTCTTATCATTGGAGAAAGATTCAATATCACCATCAGATCGTGACCGAACTAGCATTACAGGGAGTTGTGATGATGGTGTGCGCTCATGGTTAGAATTGGGAGCAGGGGAAACAGATTTGTCAGTTGCCTCAGAAGTGGCATTGACATTATTTGGTTGCTGCTCAGAAGTTGAGGCCGCTGTCGCTGCAGCAGCCTTGGCAGCTGCAGCGGCAGTGACTTGGGCGATTTTTCGTGTAACAGCACGGGAAAAGTCCTTGCTCATCATCTTTACCATTGCTTTCTCTTCGGCCAACCCCATCCCTTGAAGCAAGCGGTTTCGCCGCTCAGTTATTGATCCCGGAGCTGCCATCCATATGTCGTATTCCGGCGACATTGTTGTGGGATTGGCTGCTGCAGCCGCAAAGGAGTAATTTCGGAATGTTTTGGAAGAAATGGTGGTGGAGAACGAGGCACGAGATTCTTCAAAATCATCCTCATCAGATCCTGAAGAAGCTAGGTCGGCCGGAACAGCTCCAGAGAGCCGGTTGCAATCAAAGAATCGATCATCGTCATCGTCATCATGATCACCAAAGGCATCCCAATTCATCGTAAGGGTTCTTTTTCGATCCATCTTTGGGTGGCCTGATCCACCCGCTATAGTTACAGAATGTGCCATTACAAAAAATTTTGGAATCAGAATTGAGAGAAAGGAATTTACATGAACAAGTTTGAATTGCGTCCTAAAATCATTACTCCCTCAAAATTCTTGTTTCCCTTTTCTTTTCACGTTCTTTGATTTGTTTGACTTTCGACAAGAACAGAGAAAGAGGGAGAGAGACGAACAAGCGACGATGACTGGAAGAGAGAAAATTTAGGAGACACCTTTATTCGTGACCAATATCAAATTTTTCGAGGGGTTTCTTTCTATGTGAGAAATAAGCAAAAATAGAAATATTCCGAGAAAACATTTCTTAAGAAAACTAAAATGTAATTGTGGTAGTTACTACATGCATGCTCTTCTTTACCGCATAATCGTTTCCCATTTTGGGAATGTTGGTGCTCAATAAATTTTTCATTTGCACAGAAACAAAAGTAAATAACAATGCTAAAGAGGCTTTATGAGTATCCGGAACATGTGAACGACGTGCCCTTGTGACCATGTGTTCATTTTCTATTTGGAATTTGGAGGTGGATTGTAAAATAATTATGAGCTATATTTTATAATAAGAATGAGTGCGGTTACAAAAGCATACATTTTGCGTATGTAGAGCCAAGATGCTAAAATTGCATAAACAAAATTTGGAGATAGGTTTGGGTCAGGTTTTTCAGCCTAGTGTGTAGTGTTTATTAAAATGAGTTGTGAGCTCACTTGAAAATAAATAAAAGGACCACACAAATGGTGAAGGGAGTATTAACGAGTTAATTAAATAATAATGAGGAAGTTTTTGGGTTGAAAGTACTCTAAGGTTGGTGCTTGTCTTGTTGGTCCTACTTTATTTGATTATTTTGCTCGTCTTCAGTTTGGGGTAGGGGTTTCTGGTGGAGGAGAGGCTATTTTGCATGCCTTGAATCGGTTCGTTGTGGCCCGTGGTGGTGACGTAGGTCTTTCTATGCTGCTAGTTGATTTCCAGAATGCTTTCAATTTGGTTGATCCTGAATCCATGCTTCAGAAAGTTCGTCGTCATTGCCCGGTCCTTTCTGGATGGGTAGAGTTCTGTTACTCTAGCCCTGCTCGGCTGTATTATGGGCAACATAGCTTATGGTCTTGTCAGGGGGTTCAGCAAGGAGACCCTTTGGGCCCTTAGCTTTTTTGCTTTGGTGTTGAATCATTTTGTGTGCAAGATCAGAGAATCTTTTGATCTGAGTATGCATGCTTGGTATTTGGATGATGGCATTGTTGTGGGGGACACTTTGGTTGTTGGCAAGGTCTTAGACATGATTATAGATAAAGGCCCACGAGTTGGCCTTCACCTAAATGTGAGTAAGACAAAGGTTTTTTGGCCTACTAAGGATCCTAGAAGTCGGCTTCCTGGTGTTTTCTCAGCCTCTATTGCTCGACCTCCACACGGTGTGACCGTTCTAGGTGGCCCTGTAAGTTCTTATCCTAATTTTAGTAGTGATTTTGTGGCGAAGAGAGTTACTAGGACCATTGAGCTAATGTACTTGGAAGTGAGGATTGATGACCCACAGTGCGAGTTGCTTTTGCTTCGGGCTTGTACCAGTATTTCTAAACTCTACTTTGCTTTGCGTACATATTCTCCTTGTATTTTTTGGATCGGTCTAGATATCCTTTAACACAGCTCTTCGGTCTAGTTTAGATCGTATTGTCACTGCTTCTAGGCCCGGGTTTGGTTATTGAAAGTGCCAGCTTGCAACCTTCCCTTTTAATTTGGGCGGGCTTGGGGTTTATGCTGCTAGAGATGTCCTGCATTATGCTTTTTTGGCATCTCGTTTACAATCTGCGGAGTTGCAAGCTAAAATCCTAGGCCCTTCTGGTATTCTATCTCCTTGCCCTGCTTTTGATGACGCCCTGCGCACCTTAAATGAGTTTACATGTTCTGATCTCTTACGTGACCCTAGTGGAGTTGTTGCCCCAAAACTTATGAAGAAATTGGCAAACATGTATTTCTCGAAGGTTGCTACTACTTGAGATTATGTTTTCTCCTTGACTACTCGTCAGATGGCTTTGTGGAAATCTCAGCAGAGTGCGCACTCTTCTGATTGGTTGCGTGTTGTTCCCATTGTTGAGTTGGGCCAGACTATGAATGGGAGGACATATCGTAGTGTGCTTAGTTATCGACTGGGTGTCCCATTGTTTTCGGTATCTAAGCCATGCCCTGCTTGTTCTCGTGCCTTTCCTGGTGATGTCTTTGGGAATCATGTTGTGTCCCGTGCTTGTTCTGCGGACATTAAGCATCAGCACAACCTTGTTCGTGACACCTTATTGGACATCTGTTACAGGTCTTGGATTTCTGCCGGTAGGGAGGTTGATATAGGTTTGGTTGATGGGCATGGCGGACCGCTTCGTCCTGCGGATATACTACTTTATTCCTGGGACAGAGGGCGAGATGTGTGTGCCGATATGACTGGGCCTAAACAGGACAAGAAAGCATGGGCAGGACTGGTGTGGAAGCAATTTCTGATCCCAAAAAACTCTCTTACTGTGTTTCCTCCTTCCTGGAATTACCAACCTTAGTAGGGATGGCAGAAAGGTCTAGAAAATGCAGTGTCAAGTATCAAGAATAAGAGATCAGGTAGGCTTCTATGAAACCTAATGGTAAGTGAAGTATGGAGGGAGTGGTGTCGCAGAATGTTTGGTAACAAAGCTCTTATGGAACAGAGCTAGTACAACAGATGAAGGGTGTGTTGGAATGCATGATTGCTACCAGCAGCAAGATAGTTGCAGAGGGTACGATTTTCCCATTCTGGTATATGTGAGATTGTAGTTGTCTGGATTGTAGTAAGGTAGGTAGAGTGCTTGTAATTGAGCTATTTGGTTGAATTCTGGTAGGGTAGTTCTGAAATTGGTTGTAAGTTGAGGTTTGGTATTGTTTTTTATCGTATTGATGCAATAAATGGCTTATTCATAAAAAATATAAAAATTAAAAGTATTTTACTTATTAATACCCTCAAATATTAAAATATAAGAGAAAATGCGGAGCTAAGTGTATATGTTAAGAAAATATTATGATAACTAATTGAATTTCAATTTATCAACACTATCTATGTCAACAAATGACAGAATAATAATTAAAGTAAGAAATTTATGGTGCAAGAATATATATTAAATATATAATATTACTATCATGGGTCGGTTTGGATAATCTCGGGTTGTAACCATCCAAACTCAAACCCAACTATAAGGCTACGGATTTAAAAAATCTAAAACTACACCCACCTATGAAATTAGATATTTACGGATATCATGGGTGGGTCGGATTGGGTTGGATGGGTGGGTTAGATATTCACCCCTATCACAAACAGCTAAATCCATATCATGCTTATGTACTTCTACAATCCTAAGTGTGTGTATTGGGATAAGTCCTAATCCTAATTCCATTCTTTACATAAAATGATTCGACATGCATAATGAGTGCAAATGCTTAAGCAAGAGGAAGACGAAATACAAACATTTCGACAAGAGGAAGGTGAACCATTATTCGAACCTCAGGAAAGATTCACCTCACTTCTACTCATGTACCCAAACCACGGCATAGCCGATTGGCTACAAGTGAAAATATGTAATAATGGACTAACTCTTGAGTCCCGGAAGTTAATTGATGCCACCAGTGGAGGAGCTATTCGGAACAAAGAAGTAGGCTAATGTAAGATATGGCTCTCAATATCTATGATTGGGGTGATGGTACGCGAGAAAAGAGTATAAGAAACACTATGCCATGTGCTACAAATTGAAGAACCATCCTCATTGACGGCTCATCTTCAACAATTGAAAAAGAAGATTGATTTTGTTGCATCAACTATGAAGAATAATAGTAAACAATTGATGAAATGTGATTGGTGAAAGAGGAACTGATAGTCCCTACCAAGATCAATGTCGAAGAAGAAGAAGAAGTATATAAGAAGCCTCAAGTATCTGAATACATCCCAAAGGCACCTTATCCTAAGATATTATTCGAAAGTGATTTACATAATGAATGTGCTCAATGGAAGGATACACTTAAGAAACTTAAGGTAACCGTTCCTTTCTTGGAAATGGTCAGGAACATGCACAAATATACAAAGTATTTTAAGGAAATCTTATCGGGGAAGAGGAAACGGAGTAAGTTGCTATAGTTTCTATGAGTAACGTCGCTTCTACGTCTATTGGTTGTGAAAACATTCCACCAAAGATGAGATTTGTAGGAGTATTCACTATTTCGTGTACCTTTGGTGTCAAGTCCTTTTGGAACCCTTTAGCCAACTTGGTTTGATCATTAACATTATGCCTACGAGGATTTACAAAGAGTTTGATCTAGGGCCACTTACTCCAACAAACATGAAGATTGAACTGGCTAACCAATCTATTGCTACGCCTTGTGGAATACACGAGAACGTATTGGTGAGAAGTGCTCATTTTGTTTACCCCGTGGACTTGGTTGTTTTGGACACAAAATGTTGTATTGACACACCAATTATTCTTGGAAGACCCTTCTTGGCTACAAGAAGGACTATTATCAGCGTTAGTGACAGCCGAATAATCTTAAGGTTTTATGAGTAGGAGATTGTTGTAAGATGAATCCACTTTCCACTATCCCTACCCTACCCTTGTGGGACCAAGAAGCAATTTCAAGTGCTTTGTGGGTCATTAAGGCTATTCAACTAAGAAAAATGCAAGGTGTGAAGATTGGAGTGGATCTGGTTTCGATTGGCTGAAATAATGCATACATCAAGCTCTGGTGGCAAGCTGGAGGACATGAACCGAGGGTTGTTAATGCCACCCTAGTGGTAAAAGCACAAGGAGAGTTGGGAATGGATACTGGTAAAATGGGTAGCGAGGAGATCTTTTTTTCATTGAAGGGGAGATGATATTGATAGATCCTTTGCTAGAATGTGTGTTCCAGAGCAACCAAAAGATCTGGTTATTTGGTGGAGATTGAAGGGAAGGAAATGGACTCCTCGGGTCATGACAGTCATGATGATGATATGAGTTGCATGGCGGGAGGAGTATCGAGGAAA